ACTTCTCAATCCTCACTTTGCACCGCACTCACTCTATATCAATTGATGTGTCAATATTAGACGTTTTCATGGGTCTTTTCATTCTCGATTTTGTTTCAGCTTTGCAATTTCTTTTCAAAATAAATAATTAAACGTTAGCATAACATATGAAGCATGCTTTTAGGCTTAAGAGCATATAGTTACCGTACAAAAACGAAGAAAAATGAAACACAAATTACGTGTATAGCACAGGTTACGCCGTAAATTTGCCATTTCGACAAGCAAATGCATCAATAAATTTTTATTTTGCGCAGAATTTTAGCTCCACACATTCTTTTTCTTTTGCCTACGTTTAGGCGATTTAAATAAAACATATAGGCGAGTACTAAGCTTGCTCTTAGACGTGTTGTATTTGTTTTTTTGCAAAGTTGGGCAGTACAATTGAGTTAGGAATGTATCTGAAAATTTTATTTAGAAATTTTAAATATAGTAAATATTGAAGTAAATGCAAACTAATCACAAATAGTGCAGCTGTAATTAATCTCAACTCGAGAGAGTATGGAACAAGCAGTGCAAAAATGTATTTAGAATGATGTGAACTTCCACTCATCTATGTTATATGAAGTACTATAATGTGTACTTGTACATCTAAATATATCCGAAACGTATTATTTTGAATATACTCGTTGTTTATATCCTCGGAAACTATCCGACCAATTTTAACCAATATGTTTGTAGAATATTATGGGATGAAAAAGGAATGGTGATAAGTAAGCTAGGTTACTTATGAACTTTTAAATTACACTGAAATGTAACAATGACATAATAATGATAACATTATCTTTTTTGGATAGAGCAATACGTAATTTGAGGATCGAGTTGATATTTTCTAATATAAAAAGTAAAAATGGCAGAAAAAACATTAACTGAAAGTGCAAAAAAAGTGCAGTAAGTAGAAATGATGAACAACGTAATGAACATTTGAAAATTAAAAGATTTTGGTTAGCAAAAACTTGAAAATAAATGACAAAAACAAGGTGTAGCGAACCTTTTTAGACGCTACCAATGTGTAATAAAACTCAACACATGTGCTGAACAATGATAACACTCGTTATTTCGCGATCTAAATATGAGAACTATATAGATTAAGTATAATCATCTTAATCATCAAGATGACATTAGAACTAAGATAATGAAGAACACAAAACAGAGGTCATATGGAATAGTAGCATAAGAAGCTTGGAATAGTAGCTTTTCTTACCAATGATAATTCAAAAGGTTTGTCTTTTTAGCATTTTATAATGCAAATAATTACTCTTAAAAATATAGCTCTTATCAAAAACTTAAGGGCTCAATTAGAAGCGCTTTTAAACTCTCGTGGACCCTCTTCATTACAATTCAGTGGAAAGGGATAGACTTCCAATAGAAGTCGTTAGAGTAACCCTTAGTTTAGTTATCTTAATTAAAACGAAACTAAGTTTAGGTGCAGAGCCCACGGATTGCACATTGCGCAGTTCTCAATCAATAAGAAAAATACAAAAAAACATTATGAAAGCGCCTAAATGTATGGAGAAAATTGCTGTGCATTTGAGGTTTAGTTTAAATTAGAAAGTTGGCTGCAAGGTTGCAATTTAAATAACGTTTTCTAATTTTCTATTTCATTTTTCGGAACTGCTCTCGCAGTTAAAAACCATTTATGCACCTGCATGCAGGCCGCCCGTACCATTGGCTTGCATGCATTTATTTCATGTCGGATTTTGGCATCTTTTGTATTATTTGCCTTGCAATTTGATGTTTTCTAATAGACTAGAAACGCTCTGCAGTGCATGTGCATATGCATGTGCATGTGCAGTTTCGTTTGGAATCGAAAGCGTGCAATACTAAACTAGCCTGTGCCCTTTCATTAGCCAAAAACTAAAGGCAATTCAGCATGAAAAGCCGAAACCCTCGTGAAGATAAACTCAGCGTTTCCGCTTACAATTGATTTTGTATTCAAAAAATCGGTTTGACGTTTTCCGTTTCTTTTATTTTCAATTAAATTTAAAAAAAAAATAAAAGAACTGTTTGCTGCACGTGAATTTGATGTGGCAAGAGTTGGGCTCAGTCAAAATGTCCATTACATAAAACCCGATGCGCACAAAAGCCTTTAAATCAACGCAACAAAGACTTTTCCTGAGTGCAACTAAAACTACAAAAAATCAAGGAAAATTTCAAAATGAAAACTGTTTTGAGAATTCTGTGAATTTTGTGGTAAAAATTACTGCTCAAGCGTTGAAGTGGGTTGCGATAGGAAAAACCCACAACAGCGAATTTTCCTGTTGCAATTTTTTAAGTTAAAAAAAATTACAATTTCAATTTAACAGACCACGACCAAAAAATTTGATTTGAACGTTTTGTGGTTTTAGGATTATATGTTAGAAGAGTATATGCATCAGTTCTTCAGAGCTCAGAAGTTTAGCTAAATCCTTAAAGCTAGTACCAGAGATCTACTGGGAAATACTCACGTGACTTACATAAGTTACTTCATTTTGCTTTAATTAGTTATAGAAAATCCAGAAAGCTCGACTGCTCTCAGTAGAAATAAATTATAGTTTCACAATATAACGAGTACAATATAGACGATAGAACAAGGAGGATGACGTATCGTGATTCTGATGATGACTACCAAGGAGAGTCGAAATATAGAGTATTATTAAAAATATATAACGTTTAATTATTTAACAAGAAGGGACCTAAAGCCAGCAAAATATAAAAAAGCTATTATAATAAACAACTTAAAAAGTTTTATAACAAATTATAGGTTTGTCTGTATATTAAAGCGTTATCTGCCAGAAGTCTTCCCGAAAAGTATGTTTCGAGATGGTTTTAAACAATTTAAGGTTTATGGGATAACACAAAGTACTCAGAAACACCGTGAAATCTAATCATAGCCAGATCGTTTATATAAGTATTTGAGAAGAAATGGATCGTTATTTATAAA